GAAATTGGCAACATTCAGAATTTTAAAGAGAATGTATTTCGAAATCTCACATATTCAGCTATTCCTAAATGCCAGGAAGATAATTGTAAATTTGTAATTTCTTAAACAAGAGGAATTTTTAATTAGACCAAATTTTACCGATATACGGATAAACCTCTATAAACTAATTCAGCCGGGACCAGATGAATTCTATTAATTTAGTGTTTTAGCATGTTACCTTCGAATAGAGACCAAAAAAATTATATTATTTAAACGAGATTATTAATTTATGGAGACTAAATTATTGAAATTCTATTATATTATGTTTTTATATGACTGAGTTGAAACATAGACACAAGAGGGATGGAGAAGTATAATTGAGTGTACAAGGAAAGCAAACATACACCTTTTTTATTTCTCTTCTTTTGTATAAAGAATATGAGGAAATTAAAGTACAATTGGAGGTACATAAAACCAAGTGGAATCCAATTTTGTTTTGTTTAAAATTCGTGCAACTAAGGAATAGAAGACATTCTTTTTATTTACTAGTTTTAGTAGAATCTCGATAAATTAATACTCGATAAATTAATAACTTCGATTAAATAATAGTTTCTCCCGGTCCCGACTTGATGACAACGTATTAAATTATTAACTCGATAAATCAATAACTTCGATTAAATAATAGTTTCTCCCGATCCCGACTTAGTGAAAGCGTTAAATTATTAATTCAATAATTTAATATTCGCTAAATTAATAGAATTTCCCTGGTTCCGAATGTATTAATTTATAGAGGTGGTTTAACTGTAGTTGCTAAGTAAAACGAGTCCAATAATTGTCAAATAAATAAATCTTAAAGAGTATTTTTTATCGAGCTCCTAAAAATTTTACTGGCTGATAGCCGACACTTAGTTCTTCTGGATTTCGAATAGTATTCAAGATCCTCTGTTTTCTATTATCTAATAAATCACTAAATGAAAGTAGATTATCTTTTCGTTCATTTTAAAGCTTCCATAATCCCTTCCCGAACCAAACATGAATCGAAAGATTCATTTGGCTCTCACGTTCAATTACTTCGGGTAAATTCTCATAGTTTTTTTTTATTTTTATTTATTTATTATTTATTTATAAATGTAATGAGTCTATCCTCTCATCTGTTCCAAAAGTCTCGTTCACATAAATAGTGCAAGAGTCGAGTTCTAATAATTTACAATGTGAGACGAAGACGACGACGACCGCAACAACAGCAGCAACAGCAACAACAACAACAACAACAACAACAACAACAATAATAATAATAATAATAATAATAATAATAATAATAATAATAATAATAATAATAATAATAATAAATAGTAAATAAATAAAATAAAATAAACAAGACACTGAAATATAACAAAAAAAAAAAAAAATCGAAATAAGAAGATTAAGTTGAATTAAGTATAAACGAGGCACACGAGGGGGGAGCCAACTAGTTAACATTGCAGCCAAATTACATGATGATATATTGCACAAGAATTATAACTAACCTCTCAATAACTATTTTTTGTGTCACACTAATTGCACTTATAACCCATGTGTTTGGCACTAACCCTCGCCATTATTTCATAAATTACCCTAAAAATAATTGCATCAAAAAATGCTTAACATATGACCCTTGCCCAAATTATTGCAATTATTGTCATAACTATAACACTAAACAAAAAGACCTTCATGGGCAATTTGGGACTAAATTGTCATTTCGCATGTTATAAACAGTTCACAATGCAAATGCCTTGCATGGGCAATTTTGTAAATTTTCAGTTTTAATATTTATATTCTTGCTTTAAAATATTTTGGTTCTAAATATTGGTTTGTGAAAATGATTACCCATTAATTTACGAAAGTAATTTGTGGAAGAATTTCAAATTTTCATATATATATATATATATATATATATATATATATATATATATATATATATATATATATATATATATATATATATATATATTATATAAAGTACTATTATTTTCCTTATCATATTTTCTTTACACGAAATAATGGCGCACGGTTGATTACGTTCACATCGGAAAAAAAAAAAAAAATCGATGTGAACGTAATCAACTGCGCGCCATTATTTCGTGTAAAAAAAATATGATAAGGAAAATAAAAGTAATTTATGTAATTTTTCTTAAATCTTTTTGTGAACAGTGAGACGATTTATTTATAATAAGCAAGTGCTTTTATAATATGAGATTGCAGTTAAGAAATTACTATAATTATTAATGTATGACTGAATAATGAAAAGGCATAAAAATTACTCATTCGAACCAAAATAGTATGTGATATGGATAATGGATTATTTTACCCAATATATTTCTTTACATAATTAATTCACAATTAACAATTAATTAATTTTTCAGACATACCAAGTTCACTTATAAAATCATAAAATCTAATACATGGAGAGTAGTATCAACTTACCATTGTAAGAGTTTAGGGGAAGAATAATAAAGATACTCATTTTGTTTCCAATTAATCGTCTTTTTGAAGAGAAAAAATGTTTTATATTATCGTCACATTAGAATTCCGATAATGCGTTAAGTACTTTTTTCTTTCCAATTTTATCTTTATTATTCATACATTATTTTCAAATAACCGAAGTAATTAATAAAAAAAAAAAAGAATTAGTGGAAAGAACACTTTAGTCGTGTTATCTATTTATTTTTCTAAAATACGTGAATTTTAATTAACTTTCTTAATACGTATGTTGGAACTTTTAACAACACTTAATTTGAGATTGAGACAGTTATCTGATACATATATATGTGCGGAAAAAATACACGTCGAATAAAATTCACGAGTGTGGCGTGGCACAAACTCAATAAATTAGATTCAGCTCCACTTAATCTACAATTGATTTAATTTTGGAAGCCAAATCGATTTCACTTACCAAATAACATTATGCCAAAAAAAAAAAGAGAGAGAGACAATCAAGTAACATAGAAAAAAATATTGTAAATTGCCAGCAGGTTTTCAAGACATCGAATTAAAATGGGTCTATAGGAGTTTAGGTTCCGAAATTTCGTAATTGAAATTGGAATTGATTTTTAACTTTCGAAAAAAATTGGAAATTTTTTGAATTTTCAGGATTTTTTGGAATTGGAACGAGTTTTTAGATTCCGAAATTTTGGAATTTGTTGGAATTTATTTTGTACTTCCAAAAATATTATACAATTTAAAAAAATATTAATTTCGATACGTTCTATCCGACTTTCACCCCTAGTTTTAACGTTAAATTATTATAACTAGGACGGAAGTAGTTTTTAGAAATGCTAATGTCGGTTTTATTACCTTTGATAACATAAATTACTTTGGATTTATGTGATGCTGAACAAATTTACTAATTTTGATTGAGAGAACAATAAAATTTATGTGAAACATTTTTTTCTGATTTTACCTTAATTATTACTTAAAAAAATGTCAAACAATTGTTATTTAAAATTGCACAAATCGCCCTAATGTGCTGAAAACTGTACAAGTCACCCCTACATGCGCTAAAAATTGATAAACCACTCCTAAGACAAATATCGTATTGCGATATCGAACTATATTTATCGGTATTTTAATACAATTGATACATATGCTGAATTGTATCGTTTCCATATAAATTGTATTGTATCATGTCGTAGTATATCACGCTATTGACTACACTCGTAATAATTATATAGACATTACTCATTCTAACCAAGATAGTATGTGACATGGATAATGGATTATCTTACCCAATATATGTATGTACATAATTATTAATGCACAAATGAAAATTGATTATTAAGACACACCAACTTGACTTATAAAATCACAAATCTAATACATGGAGAGTAGTATCAATTTACCTACCATTTAAAAAAAAAAATAGGTTATCAACCTACCATTTTAAGGTTTTAGGGAAAGAATAATAAATATACACATTTTGTTTCCAATTAATCGTGGTTTCGAAGAGAATCATTGTTCGATATTATCTATCACATTAGCATTCAAATAATGCTAATGTGAAAACGAAGTAATTTATTCATAGATTATTTTCAAATAAACGAAGTAATTAATAAATAAAAAATTAGTGGAAAAAACACTTTAGCCGTGTTATCTATATATGCCTCTAAAATGGACAGATTTCAATTAACTTTCTTAATACGTATGTTTTCTTAAACCTTTAAACAACACTTAATTTGAGACCGAGACAGTTATCTGATACACACGTGTGCGGAAAAATTATACGTCCAGTAAAATTCACGAGTGTAGCGTGGAATAATAACAATAAATTTGATTTCAGCTCCACTTAATCTCCCCAATTATTTTAATTTTGGAAACCAAATGGATGTCACTTACCAAACAAAATTATCCAAAAAACAAAAAAATAGTAAATTGCCAGCGGATTATAGCACACAAATAAAGTGAGTGTAAAACAGGGCAATGTTTTAAGAGACCCCCCAAATGGGTAAATCAGTCATCATAACACAAAATAATTAATGAGAATTAAATGCAATATATGTAAAAATAAAACAAATAATTAAAATTGGATGGAAATTGAAGGGGCAAAATCGGGAACGCGAAATTGGGGGGTGGGGGGGGTGATGATGGGGGCGCTGCGTCGGTTCGGACCAATCTAAACCATCATTGCGAATATCCCGGACCCATCATTTTTCCAAAATACCCAAAAAGCCCCTGTCCTAGTTTCTACATTCCAGTGCGGGTTCAAGGAGTGAAATCCCGAAAATACCCCTACCCAGACCATTATTCACATGACGTCATCACCTCCCATTAGAAAAAATAAAAGAAAAAAAAGGAAATTGTAATGATAGTAAAAATGGAAGGCGAACATTAAAATCCTTGCCTATGGAAGCCTCCCTTCCATGCTTACACATGCATGATTATTGTGCCAGCCATTTTCTCTCTCTACAATTTCAAGATTTTCTCTCTCTAAAACTTCTTTCTCGCACTATAAATACCCCACCCTGCACACTCACTTCTGCACAACAAAACACACACACACACACACTTCTCTCTCTGTGTCTTGTACTGCAAATTTCTTTCTTGTCCGATAACACCTTTGTTCGAAAAGGTGATCTTTCTCTCTCTATAATTTCTTTCACCATTGAAGCCGATAGCTCTGTTTCTTTCATATTCAAACCCTGTGATTTTTTTTTTATTACACGTTTGAATATTTATTCATCGTTTGTATTAACGATGATATGTAATAATGTAGGTTAATTAATTAATTTACGTATACTAATAAATTATTATTTTTTTAATTTGGGAAACAGAAAATGGAGAAGCTGAACTCGAAGCTGTATCTGGAGAACTGCTACATCATGCAGGAGAACGAGAGGCTGAGGAAGAAGGCGGAGCTTTTGAACCAGGAGAATCAGGCCCTTCTCAACGAGCTCAAGCAGCGGCTCGCCGCCGCCGCCGCCGCCGCCGGAACTACCATCCCTGATCTCAACCTGTCGGGATCCACCTCCGCCGCTGCCACCAAGAAAGCCAAGAAGTGAATTAAGGAAAAAAAAAATAGCTAGCTAGTACTAGGATTGCCAGTTTTTACATAGAAATATTTAATTTGCTAGTTTTTCCGTCAATTTCAGTTTGTTTTTGTTCCTATATATTATAATTATTATATGATGCTGTTATCAGTATTATCATCATCTATATAATAATATTATTATTATTAATTTATAATCATCTCTCTCTCTCTCTCTCTCTCTCTCTCTCTCTCTCTCTCTCTCACACACACACACCATCTGATGTTTAAATGTAAACAATGTGTAATGGATTGGGAAACAGGGGAGGGTGCAGGTGTAATTTGAGGGCCTAATATAAATTAATCATCAATAATTAAATGTTAGTAATTAGTTACCAAGAAGAAGCAATTTATGTAATAATTAATAATGAATAATATTTATTGAACAATGTAAGATTTTTTGAATAGTAAAGAAAACCAGCACTTGACATCCTGTCATGAAATGACTTTATTGCCCTTTTTGTGATTAGAGGAATGGAATCTGGACAATTGGGAAATTCCTTAAGCTTTACCCATAAATGGAAATGATGATATTTTGCATGGATGTTGTTGTATCTACTTGTAGGCTCTTCCTTTTTTTTCTTAGTTTGTCTATTTATAGTCACATTTTTCCCTAATATTTGTTCTAATTTTTTTTTATTTTTTTATTTTTTATTTTACATTCAATTTAAATGTTTTTACATCCTTTAACTATATATACAATCCTAAATTTATTTTTCGTCAATTAATTATCACATTGTACTTACGATCGACTTTCTTGTTGAATCCTCAATAGCGTTTTCGTGATTCATAACGTTTATTGTCACAATGTAAGTCGGATATTTGAATTTGGGATGATGTTTGTTAGAATTTTGAAATATTCACTACTAGAAAATCACGAATTAGCGACGGACATTAGTGACGACTTATAGGTTCGTAGATAAAAGAAAGAAGTAGTGATAGAATTTGTGACGGATAGCAAATTCGTCCCTTTACTTTTAAAACTTCATTTATAGCAACGGACATTAGTGAGGGATATGAAATCTGTTTCGAAAATAAATATTTAGCAACATCTGTTGCAATAGATAATAGATCCCTCGCTAAAACAAAGTATTTTAGGCAAACAAAAATTAGCACCGATAAAAAACCATTTTCCATTTTTAAAATAAAATATTTTAGAAAAAAGAGTGCATGTTCAAAAATTGTTGCATTAAAAAAACATTTTTATTTTCCATGTTTTTTATTCCGAAAGGCCCACTACCACCATCAGTCCCCATCACAAACTTAGACCTATTTCTTTCTCCCACTCTTCTACACGTCTTCGTATTGAGATTTCAGGGTTCAGACCATTTCCCAGATTCAATTTTTCATTCTTCAGGTCGTTCCACTCCCGTCTCAGTTTGTTCCGGCGGTGATATTGCTCGGATTTATTTGATTTTCAAGGCGATTTATTTATTTCAGGTAATTCTTGGTTTTATCTTTGTCTCAAACACACTCACCCTTCAATGTTAGGGTTTTTGCTAAATACCCGTAATTGATTATGTATGGTATTTATTATATATTATATTTTGTTTATGAGTTTTTAAAGATTTTCTTGTGTGCACCATTTTGATTTATATGAACTTAATTAATAATCTGTAAATTTTATTTCAACTGTGAATATTGGATTTAAATGGAATGAAGTCCGAACTATTGTTGAAATTAATTTTCGTATACCAAGTATAGAAAAAGATGTTATACAAATTTTCTGGTATTATTCTCAAAATATGTTAATTACAACAGTTATTTGCCATTTCTTTTTATTGATACTATTCAGATTATGATGGGGGCTAAAGATAACCAACCAAATATCACGATCATCCTACTGCAACATTTGCCTCTGGTATGTTATTTTAATTATTTCCTTTTACTTTTTTTGCGATTAATATGTTGAATTTATTTAACTATCCCTACTTTGTTTATCTTAATATTAATTCAATATATTGCCTTGTTCTGAAAGAGGATAAAATTTATGTTTGTGCCCTTCAATGATATAATCACTCGTATAGAATTTTATTTATTATTGGGATATTCTATGTTAAAATTCAAAACTATTAAGGAGTTCTTGATGTTTGATGTCTTATTTGTTATTTTATTCTCATCCATCAACAGGTACCTTGCAAGATCATAATATAAAACTGCTAAGGTTAACTATGTGATGGTTGCAGGTATGTGAGCTTTTCATCTTACATAACTGGTTGATTTTTCGTACTTTGTCATTCTGTCTTTTAGTTCTTTAATCAGAGGAGTTGAGAGAACCCCAATATTACGAGTAGCCCATTTGATAGTTTTAGTTTTTAGTTAGACATCTATTTAATTTCAATATTGGACCTATAGAACTCTACATGCTTTGAGAATGATTATATATGAGACTGGCTAAAATTTGATTAAGATACAATTAATTAGTAATTTCCTGGAATGAATTTTGAGTGAGTGATTGCAAAAATAATGCAAATACCTAATATTATGATTTTGCATCATAGTCATAAAGCATCTGCTACGTGATCAAGTTATTCAGAGTTTTAAATATGAGAAGTTGTTTTTCATCTTCACTTCTTTTTCTACCCGTTCAACTCAATGCAACTTGCATTGTTACCCACTATGTTATTTCTTCTTTTCCCTTTTTACTTCTATACCACTCATTTTTTTCCTCGCCTGTTCTCGTAAAGGTGCTAATGGAAGGCCTCATGAAATGGCTATTAATTAGAGAAAGTTGTTGATGATACTTGGCTTGATGCAGTTGGAGGACCAATATGAAGGAAGAATTTTTCAAGAGCAATTGCAAGCCATCATTCAAGCAGCCATAAGTAATAAATCAGAGTCAAGCACAATGATTTGTTGGATCTGCTAGTGCTCGACTAGTGAATAGGGTCAAATTATATTTGTAGTATAAAATTTAAATATTTATGATGATGTTGTAGACTTTAGAAGTTTATTAAGGCCTGTTTTGGTTGGATGTGATCATAAGATTTTAATTTGTAGTCAAACTTATAGGATTTTGTACTAGATTGAATGGTATGAAATGGAAAATTGTTAGTTTCGTGAGATTAGCATCAATGTGTTTTAATTGATATATATATATATATATATATATATATATATATATATATATATATATATATATATATATATATATATATATATATATATATATATATATATATATATATATATATATATATATATATATATATATATATTTAAATGGGCATTTAATATTGGATATTTATTTATATTTGTCGAGTGGATTATTTCCAATGAAATAGTGACGGGTATTAGCCACGGACAATGATAGAATTGGTGATTAGTATTACTATCAGATTTGGCGACATTATAGTCCGTCACTAAGTTAGCGACGAGCATTGCGACCACTGCCTCTGTTGCTACACATTAGCGACGGAGTTGACCATTTCGAAGCTAAAATTAGCGACGCGGCTTTTAGCGACGGATTAAGCGACAAGCAGAATACGTTGCTAATTTCTCATTAGTGACGGATTTGGACAATTTAGCGATAGATATGTCCGTTGCTAAATCGCAGTTTTCTAGTAGTGATTGTTGTGCCGATTAATAGATATTAGATATACAATGTGTGCCTAACAAGGTTGTCACGCGATGCATCAGATTACCAGCTCGTGCGTCGTTAATATTTTCTTACGAGCTGTTTAAGTCGTGATACCAACTCATCAATGTACGTAGCTAACAAAGTCATGATTGCGAAAGAGCTAATTTCACTTATAACGTCTTTTTTTAGTAGGAAACATTCCTTATAACTTATGTATTAATACGAAACATTCACTTCCATCGTTTTCTTTTTTAAGCCAAGTGCCGTGTCTCCCTCTTTATCCGTACGAGAATTTTTTTTCTACTTCAATAAATTTATAAATTTGTTTAATAAAAATATTCTTACTTTTAGCTTCTACGCTCTTTTTTTTTTTTGAATTTACTGCAAATTCAAATCTCTCTCTTGAAAATAAATCAAGTACCAAATTTTTAAAGAAATATATTGGATATACTATATTTTAATTTATGCTATATTTCAATTGAAGTCTACAACTCTTTACTTGTATAATTTTTTTTAGTACCCTTTAAAAATTTCGAAGGGTAGTCGAGCCCATACGCCTGAAATCACAAGTCCACCCTAATATCAATTTACCGCTTTCAGCTTATTTTTTGAATATTTAAGATTTTTTTTTAAACTAAAAAACACTTATGAAAAACTTTTATTTATCTTATAAGCAACAACTAATAAATTTAGCCAAACACCCTCTAAATAAAATATTAATTTTAGAGTTGGGGAATAGTCCAAATAAAAGAAATTAAAGGGTGAAAAGAAAAAGGGCTTGTCAATAAGATTCTAGGATATATAGTAATGGTGAGTGGATATGGAGAGGATCTAATGAAAGAAAACACGTCATCAAATCTCATGACACAAACAAAAAGTCAATGTTAGGGTTTTGATTATTTATCATTAAACTTCAGAAGATTTGATAACCCCTGGGGCCCCACATTATATATATATAATTTTTTTAATTTATTTATTATATACTCCATAAGTTATCATTTCATGGACATGACTTTGATGACGTCATTGGCCACAGGGTTGACTATCAAACCAAACAAATTTTAAAATTGTTTTTTATATTTATAATATAAAAGAAAAAAACATTATTTTAAAATATTTTTGTTAGTAATTCATTCTAATATTGTGCTGTTTACATTTTATTGCTATGCTATGTTTAAATTTGAATTTCAAATTAATCATATTTATTGGAAATTTTTCCATATCAATATTATCATGTACTTTATATTATAGAGTTTCTGATTTTGCAAAAATAAAATAATAATTCATTCATACTTCCATTTTTTTTCCTAAATAAATTTGGACTGCCATTGGAATTAATCTTCACTTTCGAAAAAAAAATCCAAAATGCTAATTTCGATTTGGACTGATTTCCTATTTTCGCCCCTACATATTATTTTTGTAATATATATGTATATATACATATGGCCCCGGTTAAAGAAGTCAAATTAGATTATAGGGTATGATGATTGGGGAGAAAGAATAAAAAAAAAGGCCCAAAAATTTAATGCAAACTTGAACAAGACATTGAATGAATATATCCACATATAGAATTAGCCAATTTGCTTAGATTATATATATATATATATATATATATATATAAGAGACATTCATATGTTTTGGTGAGAAGACATACTCTTTTTTAGCAGCTTGATTGAATCTCCTCAGCGGATCTATGGTCATCAATACAGTATCTTGCGATATCATTTCATTCTCTTCTTCGTTTTTTAATATATATTAATATCTCCCCACTATATAATAGTAACACGTGGTTACTCAAGTTCGAATCCTCTTGCAAACGGTTGCTAGATCGAAATTATCTCTTATGGTTAGCCTAGCGCAATTTACGTCTCTCGTTTTTCTCAAAGAAAAAAAAAGAAAAAAAACGTCTCTTGTTTGGTTTGCAGGCTATTATACGAGAATATATGTCTATTCAGTGCACACCTATATGGTTGACTGCAGGTTCCTTCATCGTAAAAATACGCATACAAATCTAATTAACAGTTAGAGCTCATAAATTGTTCAAGAATAAAGAAAGATTACTTGGCATTATATTACAAAAAAAGATGAAAATTAAACATATTATTTCCAAGTTTATTATAACATTTTCTCTAAGATTCTATAAACATTCTTTTGCTTCATAATTTTTTTTCAATTTAGGGAAGTGTAATAATTTCAAAATATGATGCAGATTCTGAAAATGAGTTTATGATGGATATTTCTTCTTACCTACTAAATAGAAAATTGAAAAAAATATAAATGAATCAGAAAAGTGAATCATTAGCAAATTTTACAGCTATTGAAAATTTAGTATAGTCATCATATGATTTTTTTTTTAATAATTCAAATCCTGCAAGGATGGTACAGCCGTCATCTCTTATATATTGACCTCATTTCTCTTTGGTTTTACAGACCCCATCTCTTCAATACTCAACTCCATCAAGATTTATGCGATTCAATATCATTATTAAGATGTGAGAAAAATAAGGCTGTATATGCACATATACATACATACACATATATATATATATGTATAGTCTCAGGCCCATAAATTCAAAGAAATGTAATAATTCATTAGCAAAGAACTCCCCTATTAAAAGGAGATTTGTGTGTTAGCTCCAATTACAATATCCATGCCAACAACTGCATTTCTCCGTTGTAGTGTTGTACAATTGCGGGGCCGTTAATGGGAAAAGCATCCATACGAAACTCAGCATTCCCAGTACAAATGCCACAATTACTATCCCTGAAAACCACAAGGAACAAAGAAACGAACAATCTGCCGTAAATTAGAACAATATGCAAAATATAGGGAATGAATTATCTCAGCATTGGTGTAAGAAACGCGCGCGCGCGCGCGGGGGGGTGGTGGTGGTGGTGGGGCTCATAAAGTTGAAAATATAACAGGTGAAATGACATACCAGAACGACGAGAAAATATAACAGGCAAGCCCATAAAGTTGCAAAATATATGAGCTACTAGCGGAGCTGTTAGATGTCCTGCAATTGCCAAATGTAACAATGTATTAGTACAGGTAAATAATATTAACGAGACGGGAAGGAAAAATCCCGCAGAACATTGCATTTTATTATAACTAGAAGGACTACCCACCAGTACGGACAAGAAGGAATGACGCATACGCCCCAAAGATGACAGTATATCCTAGCTGGAGACCTGGATAAGAAATGAAATATGTGATGGCAAAGCATATATCACTAAAAGCTTTATTCATCTTGAGGAATGAAAACTCGAACTCCAAATAGCACTACAGTTATTTGCCAAATAATATATGTCTGATGAAAAATTCACCGACTTCTGACAAGCAAGCCACGGCTGAAGCACTCTATTTAACCATTAAAAAAAAATAGAAACCAACATAAATTTCTCCCATGGTTCCCACACACAACATTATCTAAGAAAAGTGGAAGCGAATATACCTACAACTAAACAAGCTTTGACCAAACTGAAGTTCTGTTGGGCATAGACCTCCAGTAAGTGGTTCAAATGAGCTGCAACCAGAAAAAAGAAGATTTATTATCGGATTAACCTTTTAACTAACAAATATAAATATCTGAAGCGCAGGTGCGTATAATAAAGACTGGAGAGGGGAGTAAAAGCCTGAAGCTCCAATAGCAACATGTAAGCTTATATATTAGCATAGATATCAGAATTGTCATTTACATAATCTAGTTTTTAGGTTCAGTTACATAAATTGAATTAAAAAATACGGGTTCAAACAGCAGCAGCATTTACCTAAACTGAAAAATATGGGACAGAGAAATATGGCAGTATAGGTACTGAATCCTCCACACAGTAGCAAAGGAATCATACAAGCTCTGAATACCAACTCTTCCGTAAGTGGAGCCTGTTGAGGAATACGGAAAAACTTAATACAGATAAGTTTGATTTAGAATAAGAATTAATAAGTCAGTAATTTGAAAAAACAGAAAGATACATTCAACAGGCTTTGGTTTCAGATGTTCAAATGAAGATAAGTTTTAGACATTTAAGATGGTTTAAGTAGCACCGAGGATATTTGCGCATATTAGCGAAGCTTTACAGATGCTCTGATCAGGACGGAAATGATATTTTCTGTTGATCGCCAACCAAACTTAGTAGCTTGCTTTAAGTAATTCATAATACGTAGATTGCATGACACACATGCAGGCATGTTTCACATGTTTTTCACTATACGACAAGGAAGGCCAATTTCAGTCTATCCTTCATATACAAAGCCTATTGAAAATTATAATATGGAAAATATTTCAAAGAAACCCCATAATTCCTCATTTCAAGCCTATTGATTAATGTAATTGGAAGCCATCAATTGGGTTTATTACAAGACATGGAAATCGATCACTGATCCTATTTTAGTATCTCTAAACTTTACAGCCCCATAGAAAATTGAAGAGTAACAACATCAAATGATTGAGTTCACTAGTTCTTCACAGAAAACCATCCACACGAGAGATATATTAATATGGAGAAGACAAAATTATTTCAAGTATCGACATAACTGGAAGCACCCCTTTCTTTCAAAGAGATGAGGATGGATTATTTACGTTTCGTTTGATGGTCAGGGGCAAATTGCAAACCTAAGCAGTGCGAATTCTATAGATTCCCAATAATAGTCGGAAATGTATCTTTGATAAGGACACTGACAGTTTCCAATTTGTACTAAAGTTTTATTTAAAAGCAAACATTGAGCAAGAGAAATTTATAAATACATCACCTGCCATATAACCCATAAGAGGATAATCATATCATAGAGAGAGAAAAAAATATTATAGGCATAGAGAGTAGTTTGAAAAAAACAATATTATATACAATAAGGGCAAATAAGTACACTAACCACAAAGTAGTTACGCCAAGATGAGATGCTGGAAGTTAATGAAACTACCCAATCAACGATCTTCCATAAAATGGTCTTCATACATACAACTGATACAGTTCCACCACTATTCAAATATTCGTTGCTTGCTTGGATCATTGACAAAAACTTCAGGGCAAAGGACCCAGAGTACATGAGGGAAGTAAGTGATAGAGGAAAGACCAAAGCTTGCCACTGTTTATACATAAAATTGCATTGATCAATCAGTCACCCTTTTCAATCTGCAAGTCATAAAAATATTTAAAAGTAGTTGTAATACCAATCCAAATACATATGCATGTCTTAATATGAAATACTGTCTTCAGATAGAGTACGCACAGTGTGATCCAGTCTGATGCCGTAAACGCCAAACAGATTTGATGCATCGCGCCTTGTTATCTAGTACAAAACAGAAGTAAATGAGACAAATAGTACAAGAAAACTCTGCAATGGTTAGGTATAACCAATTCAAAATATGAAGATATCGTTATATCATATGCTGGATTCTGATTTGTCTGCACAATCCGAAAGAATATAATTTGTGTCCAACTCAACTGACGCACACTCATCTGATCTTGATCCTTGTGGAGTGAAAGTGAGTAATATTACTCATATTGAAACTTAGGAAGTTGTCTTTTTGAAGATCCAAGAAATGACAGGACATGGAAAAAATATTGTAGGTTTCCCTTGTCCCTTTAATTGACATAGACCCCAGTCCTCCAATAAAATGAGGATCTCATACTAAATTGAGGACTTATTCGAAATCTTCAAAAACTTAATCGACAACACTCACGTCAAATCTCCTGTTGTTATTTTCGCGCTGCTCTATTATTTGACGGTGAACCTTATTCTGGAGTAATAATTTGTTCCTGAAGATTTAGTAGATTTTTTCTGACCAAAATGGGAATGGAGCCAGTAACTACTGCACTATCCTATGTCAAATAAATAGTATTGTCATATATTATTAACTCGATAACGCAAACTGAATTTTAAACAATCCTGAGGAATTATTGGGTTTATGATCATCAACAATTAAGAGGGTTAATAGAAGTTTTAAAATCCGAAAAACAAGCAACAAAGAGCAAAAGCAGCAAGTGTAAGCGTGCATTGTAGAATAGAAACCACAATATTTTCAACATGAATTCTTGATGAGGATTATTATGCCGATACATGCAATAAACATAGAATGGTGCTATTTCCACACAAATAAAATCTCAAATCACCACTATATTTTTAATTTTAGAATCACTCTAATTTAGAAAGTCTAATATATCCTTCAATTTAATAACTTTTTTATACTTCTATCTTGTTTTACCACCATAACCACTCACTTTCGATCTTTCTTCTACACCCCTTCTGAAAAAGCACCATTATTACGCCATGTTTGGTTGGCTTGTTAAATCCTTCCAATGCTTTTCCTTTTCCCAAATTGTGTTTAACTTACTCTTTAAAATTGCTTATGTGAAACAAATTGAGACCACCATTTTATTTGGTAAACGGTAAGTACAGAATGTGGGGTAATTTAAATATTTTAAATTAAAAAATGGTGGTGGCGTGGTGCATTAAATATGGTGGTGATTTGTTTGGAAATACCATCCTAAACATACGACACAAAAGGCCTATCAGTTATTAATTCTTCTTATAAATTTTAGCTAACACATTGTGAGATAGATTTTTGTAATAACAAATGATTTCTCGCAGAAGATAATAAATAAAACTAGCATTTCATGGTAAAATATATGTTGCGATATAAGTAACATCAGCTGATTTTGGACTTTGAGGGTATTAGAGGCTTAAACTTTGTATTCAAGATAGCAGTGGGAATAATTAATAATTGCAATAACCACTAACTAAATAATTACTTATTATGTATTAGATTGTTCAAGTTAGATTCCAACATAAATCTAATGACCACAACTGGCAAGAAAAGATTAGCAAATCAAACAAACAAAATCCAAGTCAAGGAAAGGAAAACTGATCTGGTATTCAGGACATCTCTCTTTACAATGAAAAAGTTTACCTCTCAACAGCTCAACCATTAACTGATTTTCATAATATTTTAGGAGCCTTATAATAGAAAAAACTCGTTAAATTTCCCGCATAAATGCCTACGAACCAAACTACTGATCTCGAATGAGGAATTGCCCTTACCATATTTGAGGACTAGAATCTTCCCATTTGTCGTTAGGGGACTTAAGAAACCAGAGATGTCACTTTGAAAAAAATTATATCTCCGAGTTGAGAGCATTTAGCATACGTGCTAAACTCGATTTATATGCATCTCATAGTTAGCCTTCACTTTTAAAGGTAAAAGCAACTTCAACTCTCAGTTGAAGATAGATAATCTATTAATGCAAGTTTTAAGTCAAATTCAAGCCGCTTCATACTATAACGCAACGCCAAAGATGGATGACTATTAACTACTATGATCGAAACCCTCATTTCACTCTATCACCAAAAAAAAAAAAAAAAAATTAAGGAAGAAATTGAACTATCAGGTGAAATTTATAGCAATAACAGAAAATTGAACTATCTTTTTGTCAAATTTGATTGACTTCATTTTCATAGATTCCGTTCAGTTCCCTCGGAACACATATGGACAGAGAGAAGATCATTGGCAATAAATACCATAAAAAAGAGGATATTTTTTTGACCTAATTTGACAAACTATGTAGCTGTTCGATTTTACTCGAACCACGCATCCAAGTGCACAAATTCAAAAAAAAAAAAAAAAAAAAAAAAAATTGGAGTCTAAGGAAAGGACTAACCGGGAGGATGAAGAAGCAGACGACGAGGGAGACGACGGAGGAGATGGCGGCGCACACAAACCGGCGTATCATATAGGATTTAAAGGAAATCGGAGGGGGTAATCGGAGAACCAGCGTTGGAGAATATAGGATCGCAACGTAAAACACTGCCATGGCGGTGCAAGCTGCCACAGCAGCGGACTTCGTAAGGCCGCCCTCGCCGCCGCCGCCGCCGCCTTCGTGCTGCTCCATTGGCGCCGGATTACTGTACTGAATCGGTTATGTATATACAACTGTATGTATCTATTGGTACATCGGGTCCTGACACTATCGCTGGGTGTTGACTTGCGGAGTTGTAATTGGTATCAGTTATTGGGCCCGACTCCTTCTTTAATATCTTATTGGGTCAACTATTGGCCCAACCGATTTTATCTTATTTTTTATTTTATTTCTTTAGTTAAATATGGATTTTTTTTTTTATTTTTTTTTATCTTTAAATTAATTGTGCTAATAATCTCTAAAGTATATCACCATAAATATTTTTGGGCCTAAAAAGACCCGCACATCTATGCTTGTGTGGGGTAATTTTTATGTTACACCTGATTATTAACATTGGGTAGTTGTTAATTGTTTATCGGCACATAATCACACATACCTATGTGTATCTGTACTTAGTGTATGGTTATTTATTCATCAAAAAGAAAATTAGTAAATAGTTATTTAACCTCATTTACAGTTCAAATAGCTATGTAGCATATAAGTTAACTTCCCCTTGTGTTTTAAGGTTTGACAAGAGGATATATTTTTATTAATAAATTTGCGAGGGTATCTTTATATATAAAAGAAAGGTTTGTCCCGAAACTCTAAAAGTAGTTTTTTTTTTTTAAATATTTTTGTGAAATATTTGTTTCCTTTATTTTCTCATTTTTTATAGCACATTCAAAATTATTTGTATTTTCTTCCTTTTTTTATAGAACATGTTTTTTGGTTTTTTTTTTTAATTATATTTTTTTTCTTTTTTTTCTTCTTCCTTTTTTCACTTCCCATTAAAGAGGTCAATTTTTTTTCACATTTTTTATTTTTAAATATTTTCTTTTTCCTTTTTTCTTTTTCTTTTTTTCTCTTCGATCACTAAATTTTCTCTCCTTTTTTATAGGACACATTTTTTTTAATTATTTTATTTTTCTTTTTTCCTTTTTTCCCCCTTCCCACTAAACGCGATCAACTTTGAATTTTTTTTGGGGAAATGAGTGATAACCCCCTACTTTTAAAAATATATATGAGGAGGCCCAATAAATATTTCTGCACTAGTCAAAAACCCAAATTTTGATCTTAATTAGTGAGACCCTCTGAACAACATGAAGTACTTGTTTTACTCTTTTAGTTTTAATTCAATATATACCCTAATTTCCTAATCTTCTCTCTTCCCACTCACGCGTTTCAACCCACACCGCCGTTCTCTCCATCTCTCTTCACTCTCCCTCTTTCTTACTTTCTCTCGCCACCACTGCTCTCCCACCGTCTTGCGCCGCCCGCTGTCACTACTCCCCCACTGTTCTTCCACCGTCTTGCGCCGACCGCCGTTTAATCTCTCCCCCTCTCTCTTCATCTCTCCCTCTCTCTAACTCTATCTCGCCAGATCTTGCGCCGACATAGGCTTGTTTTTTGGAATCGCTAGACGACCCCTCGACCTCTTGTTGGCGTACATATCTCATCCTCCTTCTCGAGAGCCTTCACCACCGCCCCCGGCGGGTTTCCGTCGTTGCCGCCGTCGAGATCGCTCCTGCCGTCCTCGTCGAGGTTTCTCTTCTGGCCGCTCATGTTAAGGGTGCCGTTGGTTTCGATTTGCTCGTCGTTTGAGTTGTGGGTCTGGTGATAGTGGAATTACTCAAATTCAATTAGGTAATTTGATGAGTTTCTCTTGGTTTTTATTTTTATTTGTGATTTTGGGATATTGATTGAATGATAGTGTGGTTATTTCGCAAAATTTAATGTTGTTCTGACATTAGGCACTGATGCTTGATTTGATGTAAAGTTTGTTGCCTTTAACTTGCAATTAATTACTCTATATTTATGGGTATCCAATTGAGAAATTTTCCTTTATATTCTAATAATGATGATTTTAATTTTGCTGTAATGGTGATAAGAGTCATTTGATGATATAAATTGATTTCTTATATTATAGTGTTGACTTTTATCATCTGAAATTTGTACTTTGGTGAGGTATTTATTGGCTACAGTGAAGAAATAATAAGATTTATGCATCTAGTCATATACAGTCACGTGTTTGATTGAGTTCTTTGTTGTGTGTGTGGGTGCATTTTTTAGTTTATTGCATCATATTCTAATTTGGAAATTTTTTCTGTCATTTGAATGACTTGCTTGTCGTAATTAAATGAAATTTTGTATGTTTGGTGAATCTTGTAGGTCCAATTTTAGATTTACCCTTTGAAATTTATGATTTTTACTATGTAGTAAGATAAAGTAACATGTAATCATCATGTATGAGTTATGTAGGGAGTATGATGGTCATGTTGTCTGTATATCAGTAGGTGATAGTGTGTATGTATATTCAAATTTGAAGCAAAATTCGTTGTTTGTTTAACTCTCTTTCTTTTTTCGCAGGTCTTGGTGAATTTTGCTCTCTTACAATATGTCCATGTTTTTTGATAATGTAGTGGCTGCTTTTTTTCTACGGAAGGTTTTCAATATTGCTCTCTTATCTTGTTCATTTTTGTTATAAATCATATGTCATTTATTTTTTGTATTTATTTGAAAATGATCCGAAATGCCTCAAGTGTGAGAGCTCTGTTTGTCTGCAGTAGAAACTTAATCAGTAGTTGTTAATTGGATGAGTGATTTGTGTCAGGTGAATATACAATTATAT